CCAGCATCCTTTCAGCTAGAGAGGCCATTGAGGTCTCAATCTGTTCAACTCTGCAAGGACAACCCTGCTTGTATTTTTATTTATTATAACATTTATACTTTTTAATCTGTACAGCTCAAAGTGCTGAGTCAATGACAGTCTTGGAGTGCCATCTGGTGGTTCATAAAATGCAGCCCCAACATAACTCCTCTCTCCATCTCTCTCCCCCTCCCCCTTCTCCCTCTCTTTGCCCCATTCGAATGAATGGAAATATTCAAATTCAGCATACATTCAGCTATTTCAGGTATCAAAATTATCAGCTGCTCAAGGACATTCATGCATCTATTCAGAATTTTTCTATACTTCATACCTCTGAAATATTTAGCTGTATTTTGAAACTTTTCCCTTATTCAAATGAATGGGAAAATTGTACTTCAGCATACCTTAACCTATTTCGGGTATCAAAATGTTCAGCTCTTCAAGTACATTCATGCTTCTATTAACAATTTTTCAAAACATCGCACTTTTAAAATATTTAGCTTTATTCTGAAAAGTTTGGCCCTGTTGGACCCAGTTCTTTTCACCGTTGACTCTGAGAGACGAAGCAGTCCGAGTAACTTCAAAACAGTGCTGATTTATTCAATGAACACAGGTAAAAATTAACATAACACGCTCAGGAGTCTTTGCACCTCCAACATGCACACAGGCAGCTGAAAGATGAAAAGCCCTCAACCATAATAGGCCTATACATTATATCACTTTGGGCTAGCCCCACACTATGCTGGGACGCGTATACACTTCTGAAATATTTAGGTTTATTTTGAAAATTTCCCCCATTCAAATTAATGGGAAAATTGTGCTTCAGCATACTTTCAGGTAGATATACCTTTCAGGTGTCAAAATGTTCAGCATTTTATTAATAAGTTCAGCATACCTTCAGCTAGAAAAGCCATTCAGGTATCAAAATGTTCAGCTCTTCAAGGCCATTCCTACTTTATTGCATCTCATCCTTCAGATTATTCAACAAAAAACTTCAGCCATTTCTTCTCAACTATTTCAACAAAGAACTTTAGCCATGTCTTCTCATCTTTCAGCTGTTTCAGCAATTGATTTTAGGCATTTTCAGGATGATCTTTCAGCTTATCAGCATCCACATGCATTTATGACAGGAAATGCATTTCTCTAGTATTATAATATATTTCAGTATCATATCATATCATATAAGATAATATATAAAAGATTAAAAAGACAAATGTTCGAACATGTGGAAACATGTTGGGAGCTGCATCGAATAAAAGAGAATTGGTAAAACTACGTTTCCCATCATGCAACCGCACTTCACCCTCTACTGACCCTGCCACGGAAAATAAGCTGATCACCTGATCTGACCTGGCAACAAAATAACATAGCTAGAGAAGAAATCTGATGCGGGGGTAGCTAAAGAACGAAACAGTGACGCTGCTAGATATGGTTAAAACACAGTAACACATTTTAAAGACTTCAAACGGAATTAAATGGATCTCACTCTTGTTTTAAAGTAAAAGAACTAATTGATATCCGAGCGTTTGACGTCAACTGGCTGTTGTTTTTGTTGATATGTTAATGCTCAGCTGACAGACTGGAAGCTATTTACTTGTTTGGACAGCTATGAGCTGTTAGGGCTTGCTGGCTCGCTAATCATTTCTTTGGAGAAAGTTGAAACTGTTCGTGGAAAGTAGTTAGCTGTTAGCTAAATATTTTTGTTTGGATGTGAAATTATCTACCGAGTGCCAGAGAGCCGCTGAGAGTCAGTCTGTTAGCTAGCCTGTTGTTAGCTTCAACATTTGCACATGAATCCTTTCAGGAACAGCTCATTGTGTGGAGTGCTACCAGCCACCTGTGCACGTTTCTGTAGTATTTGACATAATTTGTCACTCAAGAAGACTGTGGTTTTGACGTAATTGCCTTACTGCTAGTTGCACAAAATGAACTTATTTAACAACATTTATATAGTGTTTAAAGTTAATGCTGCAAAGACTGATTTGATAAATAGTAGGCTAGGTTTTCTACATACATACATACATACATACATACATGTATATATGTAATTGCTGAGACTTGTTACAGTCAGTGGATCAGCAACCCCCTTACCATGCAGCTGTTTTAAGGTAATTTATTCATTACATTTGGTTATTTCTGTTGCCAGGATCACCATATGTTGTGCTTTTTCATTAACTGCTATTGGAAATAACTGGTGCTGTTGTCAAAGCTGTTCCAATAAGCATATCCCTCTGTTCTCAAGTTTACACTGTAAGAAATGATGAGTTGGCATGGCTCATCTTCAGAAAAGGGACTTAATACTAGTCTAGTATGTCAACAGAGTTATGACTGTGGTGGCTCTGAGGATGCTGCATTTGAGTGTGATGAATGCAAAAGCATGCAATGTGTTTGTTGTGAGGTCAAGCTTCACAGTCAGGAGCATCTGAAGAACCTTGAGCAGGTTCAGATAGGTCCTGGTAATGTTCCTTACTGTCACAGTTTCAAAGGAGTTAATGGAGACAATGGAAAGTGCCATAGATCTGTGGTCTGCTGCCAGAACTGCAAAGTTAACTTGCGCCAAGGCTGTCAGAAATGCACCCACAGTGGAGGCAACAACAAGAAACACAAGCTCACATCTTGTCCTACATCACCCAAACTTGCAGAGGTCAACTCTGTCCAAACCTCTGTTCAGCCTGCTGTTCAAATAGCTGATGAGACCAAATCTCAGAAAGCAAAACTTCTGGAGAAGGTTTCCAGTTTTCTCCTGGTTGATGAGAATGAGAAAATGCAGGTGGGTTGTGCAAATGTGACACTTGTCTTTGAATAGGAACAGAATCAAAATAGTAGAAAGTCTGATTTTTTTGCATAGACTGTTAAAACTGGAATTTAAGTGACTAATTTCTACTTGAACACTACCCATTTTTCTTCCACAGATAAAAGATGAGGCTTTGTTTGTGAGGAGCCTGGGCTGTGACCCTGAACAGCTGCTCAAAGTTGTGTCCATCTTTGGTAACACAGGAGAGGGCAAATCTCACACCCTGAACCACACTTTCTTTATGGGGAGAGAAGTCTTTAAGACTTCTCCCACACAAGAGTCCTGTACGATGGGTGTGTGGGCAGCTTTTGACCCTATCCACAAAGTAGTGGTCATGGATACAGAGGGGCTGCTTGGGATCAGTTCCAAACAGGGTCAGAAAACCCGTCTCTTGCTTAAGGTGTTGGCCATCTCCGACCTCATCATATACCGCACTCATGCTGACCGTTTGCACGATGATCTCTTCAAGTTCCTCGGGGACGCCTCAGATGCCTATTTGAAGCATTTCACCAAGGAGCTGAAGTCTGCCATGGCCCGCTGTGGCCTGGATGTCCCACTGTCCACCCTGGGCCCTGCAGTGGTTATCTTCCATGAAACAGTCCACACTAAGTTGCTTTGTTCAGGTACAATGTTTATGGCAAACCAGTTTTTTAATTGATGCTACACATATTTCAGGAACACAGTATATTTATCTCGCATGTCATAATGGATACACTGAAGCCCAATATTTTAAGAGTTGTGTAGACAAATGCTAATGGGTTATCTACAGTATATTATGATTTTACTCCATGGTGACCTCTCCATTGGTGTCTTGTTTTAGATAAGTCATCTGAGTCAGTAGATTGGCTGCTAATAGAACGCTTCAGGAAGCTTTCCCGTTTTCCAGAGGCATTCAGTTCTGTGCAGTACTGGGGCACACAGACTCTCGGCCCTCCTACCGACTTTAGTGGATTGCAGAATAAACTGGAGCAGCTACTGGATAACAATGCTACCCGCTCCCCACGCACACCTGTGGTTATTTTCAAAGCCCTGCAGGTAGGGCTGGATAAAGTTCAAAACTCAGTCAGACTGGTGGACTGTCCTTTAATCTTATAGGTTTTATGTTATTATCTGCTGATCCTCTCCTGCAGGCACTGAGTGAGTGCTTCACTGGGGAAACTGCAGGTGAGTGTGTGGCTCACAGCTGCTTCTTTCCTGATGAGTACTTCACTTGTTCCAGTCTGTGCCTCAGTTGTGGGTCAGTATTTCCTGCCTTTTTAAAAAAAAAACATTTTGCACATTGTCATTTCTCTTACAATATCCTGTAGTTTTTAATTTTTTTTTTTTAGCACTCTCGGTAATTATTTTTCCACTAGATCTGGCTGCAAGAACAGCATGAACCACTTAGGAGAAGGTGTGTGCCATGAGGCGAATCATCGCTGTCGTTATTCTGCTCAGTATGATAATCGCATTTACACCTGTAAGGTAAGAACAGTCACTCACTTATAACACTAAGATAGAGCTGAACTTGTTTTCTTTACCACTTACACAGTAATTACTCTTGTTTCATTATTGATGAATCTAATGTTGAAAGCATTGTGTGGTGCATCAACTCAGGCTTGCTATGAAGGAGGAAAAGAGGTGATAGTTGTCCCAAAGACCTCAGCTTCCTCAGACTCTCCGTGGATGGGCCTCGCAAAGTACGCCTGGTCTGGGTGAGTAGTCAGTGACCTGCTGGGTCGCACACAACTAGGTTTGGTATTAGGGTTGTGTTACCTGTACACGCACAGACACAAATTATAGCACTGGTGTTCCAGACTCTGACCTAAAATCTAATTTTTAAATTCACACCAATGTATATGCTCCACAGCAAATAGAGTTGCACATGTTCATATGCATTTGCAGGTACGTTATTGAATGTTCCGACTGCGGAGTGATCTATCGGAGCCGTCAGTACTGGTATGGGAACCAGGACCCTGTGGATACGGTTGTTCGCACTGAGATCCAGCATGTATGGCCAGGGGTAAGAGAAGTAAGCTATATTTCCTTAAGTATCTACAATCCAGCTGACCTAGAATTATGCATATACACTCACCAGCCACTTTATTAAGTACACCTGTACAATTGTATGCAATTCAATGCAGCACTTCCACCTTAACATCTGTGTTTATGAAGCTCAAAATGTTTCAGTTTTTGGTGAAATTGTCATAAATTCAATTATGTTTATTATTGAGGTCATAGTTAAAGGTGGTGCTTACTGGACTACATTATATTTAGAGGTGTCAATATTTTTGTCCTCCCCAGCTACATACATGAGAGAGTCAGAATATTAGGAACCCCTTTGAATATAATGTGAAACATTATAAAACCGAAATATTTTGATCTTCATAAACACAGATTTTAAGGGGAAAATGTTGCGTTGAAATGCATGTACCTAATAAACTGGCCACTGAGTGTATGTAACAATTTATCTAACAAAATTGCCTGGTTTTTGCAGTCAGATGGCTTTTCAAAGGACAATAGCAATGCAGCGCAGCGTCTTCTGGATGGAGTCAACCTAGTGGCTCAGTCTGTGTCAGAGCTCAGTGTCAAGCCTGCAAAGACGGTCACCTCTTGGCTGACGGATCAGATCGCCCCAGCCTACTGGAAACCCAACTCCCTCATCCTGGTGAGTGACACACACAGACCCACCCTCTGTCCCCCCTGCCACCAACAGCCAAGCCACCACTTTGGTGTCCAGAGGGATGTTTACTGTCTCTGTTCTTCTGCGCCCATGTTACACAGTATATATTTGCAGGCTGCAAGATAAAACTTGAATAGACTCAGACTGCATTCTGTTTTCTCTAACTCAAGACCAGCTTTTGTTGTTGTTCTCCTGTACAAGGTGTGCCATAAGTGTCATGCAGTCTTCCAGGACAGCGACACCAAACATCACTGCCGTGCCTGTGGGGAGGGCTTCTGCGACCGCTGCTCTTCCAAAGTGGCACCCGTCCCTGAGAAGGGTTGGGGTCTTGCCCCTGTCAGAGTCTGTGATGTCTGCTTCAAACAGAGAGCCTCATGTGCAGGTACCCATACTCTCTCAACCAGTGTTAATTTTGACACCTGAATTTGATTTGGTTTTAGTCTTTTGACGAAAATGTATATTAGATTTGGTCAAAAGTTTTTGGTAGTTGTAGTCCATAAAAACTAAATATATTTTAGTCTAGTTTTCCTAATTTCTAAACTGTATTTTTAATATTTTCTGTATATCTTCTTCACCCTTGTTGTGTGCAGTTACCATGATTACATGAGTTGTTCCCGTCTATCATGAGGTTTGTGGAAAACTGTGTTTTATTCACACAGTGTCCCTCTGTTCTGCAGAAGTTGGTCTCACCCATATTCATACTAAAAACCTCTTCACTGGGTTCAGCTCAAGAGGTGATGCTAAATCCTCAGATAACATTAAAACTGTGAGATGTCTGCAGCAACCGTTTAGAGATGATTTATGGTCGACTGCCCACATTAATCCTGGAACTAACTGACAGCAACACAAAAGACATCTGACTGAAAGGAACGTTAATGTTATATGTACATCCACAGTGTTTCATGCTAAATTACCCATCAACCAATGCTGCTGATTTTCCTAGTGTGTCCTGGCAGTATTTGTGCATAATTCTCTGGATTGTAGATGAATATGTGTCATAAGTCTGTTTCTTCTGGGAAGTGCTAATGCTAGAGACAGAACGTTACTGAATATAAGATGGTAGTGAAACACATCAGGCGGCTAATTCAACTCCTGGCCAAAAGGATAAGGATAATCACCTTTATTGGTCAAGTACAGTGCCTTGCGAAAGTATTCGGCCCCCTTAAACTTTGTGACCTTTTGCCACATTTCAGGCTTCAGACATAAAGATATAAAACTGTAATTTTTTGTGAAGAATCAACAACAAGTGGGACACAATCATGAAGTGGAACGAAGTTTATTGGATATTTCAAACTTTTTTAACAAATAAAAAACTGAAAAATTGGGCGTGCAAAATTATTCAGCCCCTTTACTTTCAGTGCAGCAAACGCTCTCCAGAAGTTCAGTGAGGATCTCTGAATGATCCAATGTTGACCTAAATGACTAATGATGATAAATAAAATCCACCTGTGTGTAATCAAGTCTCCGTATAAATGCACCTGCACTGTGAGAGTCTCAGAGGTCCGTTTAAAGCGCAGAGAGCATCATGAAGAACAAAGAACACACCAGGCAGGTCCGAGATACTGTTGTGGAGAAGTTTAAAGCCGGATTTGGATACAAAAAGAGTTCCCAAGCTTTAAACATCCCAAGGAGCACTGTGCAAGCGATAATATTGAAATGAAAGGAGTATCAGACCACTGCAAATCTACCAAGACCTGGCCGTCCCTCTAAACCTTCAGCTCATACAAGGAGAAGACTGATCAGAGATGCAGCCAAGAGGCCCATGATCACTCTGGATGAACTGCAGAGATCTACAGCTGAGGTGGGAGACTCTGTCCATAGGACAACAATCAGTCATATACTGCACAAATCTGGCCTTTATGGAAGAGTGGCAAGAAAAAAGCCATTTCTTAAAGATATCCATAAAAAGTGTCGTTTAAAGTTTGCCACAAGCCACCTGGGAGACACACCAAACATGTGGAAGAAGGTGCTCTGGTCAGATGAAACCAAAATCGAACTTTTTGGCAACAATGCAAAACGTTATGTTTGGCGTAAAAGCAACACAGCTCATCACCCTGAACACACCATCCCCACTGTCAAACATGGTGGTGGCAGCATCATGGTTTGGGCCTGCTTTTCTTCAGCAGGGACAGGGAAGATGGTTAAAATTGATGGGAAGATGGATGGAGCCAAATACAGGACCATTCTGGAAGGAAACCTGATGGAGTCTGCAAAAGACCTGAGACTGGGACGGAGATTTGTCTTCCAACAAGACAATGATCCAAAACATAAAGCAAAATCTACAATGGAATGGTTCACAAATAAACATATCCAGGTGTTAGAATGGCCAAGTCAAAGTCCAGACCTGAATCCAATCGAGAATCTGTGGAAAGAACTGAAAACTGCTGTTCACAAACGCTCTCCATCCAACCTCACTGAGCTCAAGCTGTTTTGCAAGGAGGAATGGGCAAAAATTTCAGTCTCTCGATGTGCAAAACTGATAGACATACCCCAAGCGACTTACAGCTGTAATCGCAGCAAAAGGTGGCGCTACAAAGTATTAACTTAAGGGGGCTGAATAATTTTGCACGCCCAATTTTTCAGTTTTTTATTTGTTAAAAAAGTTTGAAATATCCAATAAATTTCATTCCACTTCATGATTGTGTCCCACTTGTTGATTCTTCACAAAAAATTACAGTTTTATATCTTTATGTTTGAAGCCTGAAATGTGGCAAAAGGTCACAAAGTTCAAGGGGGCCGAATACTTTCGCAAGCACTGTGGCACTGTAAAGTTGGTTGATCTACCTACTGAACCACATTCGCCCCACCAGCCAGATTTTGGCTGGTGGAGGAAACTGTTTTACTGATCAGCACCTACAGTTTGTGATTCCACAGATGTGGAAGGTTGTTAAGTTGCTTCATGTTTATTAATTTGTCTTACACGTTATTGTTTATTTTTTTGTTGATGAAAAATGTAAAACATTTTGTCATCGTTCTCATCAAACTTTAATTTTCATGTAGTTTTAGTTTTGTTTTGATCCTGAAAAATATGTGACAATCAATTTTGTCATAGTTTCGTTAATGAAATTAACACTGCTCGATAATGTCAAATGTCCCAGTGTTCATCATCTGCATGTTACTAGCAAGCTAATGGTCTGACTTTAGCAAAGATATTTTCTCTGTGCAGAGATGCTGCTTGAAGCTGAGCTCGAGCAGGAACAAGGTGGAACCCTCGCCAGGAAGGTTGGTGAGGCTGTCACCAACACCATAGGGGTTGTGGTCACTGCTATTGATATCCCACTTGGTGAGTGTTACTGAAAACAAAACCTAAGCAGGACTGTTGTGTAAGAAGAATAACTGGCCTTGTAAATGTGAGTGTATGGATACAGTGGGGTGGTGTGGTTTCACGGTGGTTAGTGCTGTCGCCTCACAGCAAGAAGGTTCCAGGTTCAATCCCTGGCCATCCCGGGGTCTTTCTGTGTGGAGTTTTCATGTTCTCCTTGTACCTGTGTAGGTTCTTTCCGGGTGCCCTGGCTTCCTCCCACAGTCCAAAGACATGCAGCTTAGGTTGACTGGCGACTCTAAATTCCCTGTAGGAGTGAGTTTGTGTGGTTGTGTCTACATGGGTCATCCTTGTGATAGACTGGTGACTTGTCCAGGGTGGACCTTGCCTCTTAACCAGTGTCAGCTGGGATTGGCTCCAGCTGTGCTGTTTATTTATTTAAATGTCAATGATGCTGATGTTTAGATGTTGTTTACATGGCAAACATCTGTAAATGTCTCTCAGTGATTTTTCACTACTCCGATTTAGATCCTGACCAGTACAGAACTTTTTAGGGCTGATGCCATTTTTTTAAATTTTAGGGTTTAAAAAATCTTATATTGGTCATATGCTTTTTGTAATAAAAACACATAATATAAACATCAATGTCTTACATTTGTTCACCAAAGGGTTCAGTGTTGATTTTGAAAATGGTACTGTATCTCAGCTTTAAACTTATCTTGAGTGAAAATCAGATATGTTTCTAATGCACACCATCTGTGATTGTTGGACAGATTTTCTCCCTGGTTCATTTCTGCATTAAAGACATCAGGAGATGTTATGAACTCATTGTTGTTTGTTATGAAATTATTTCCTCTGAGGCAGAATAACATGTTACACCATCCTTCAGAATCTGATTGGCAGCATCTGGGCTATTGAAGTTCTTTAAGGGCTGTATATCATATGCTGTGTATTATGTAACTGTGTACATAAGCTGTAACACTAGTCCTATATTTACTAGTAAAGGGCATAGTTAAATATTTTTTCACAATCTGAAATCCTACTGAACACTTCTCTACATCCAGCACCACCTCATACCAGGAGCTGCTCAACTACCAAGATACAGTATAATATGTTAATCAGGGAGACTTAGAGGTGCTGCTAAGCTTAATTTGCAACCTTTGGACAGAACCAGACTGGCTATTTGCCCGTTTCCTGTCTTTATGCTAAACTAAGCTAAGCTAAGCTCTGCATCAAAGCAAATAAGTGTATTTCCCAAAATGCCAAACTTTTGCTTTAAATGCCTGCAGTATGATGTGACCATCATGTTTGTTGTAGATGTCAAAGACTGTTGCACTATTCCCATATGGTCATGCTTCTATGTGTATGTTATGTTTACCCTATAGGCCTAGTGAAAGATGCAGCCCGTCCTGCCTACTGGGTGCCTGACCAGGACATCCTGTGTTGCCACAGCTGCCAGCGTGAGTTCACTGCCAAGCTGTCCAAGCACCACTGCCGCACCTGTGGCCAAGGAGTGTGCGATGACTGCTCCCCAGAGCGTCGGCCGGTTCCATCCCGGGGCTGGGACCACCCTGTGCGCGTATGTGCCAGCTGCATCCAGAAACCTGGAGAACTTTAACAAGGACAGCCTTCCTTCCTCAGAGCACCAAAGAGAACCACTCACTCAGCTCGCAGTCTGTCACTGCTTTACCTCTGTTACTCCATTGGCTCTGTATCTGGGGCAAGGAAGCCCTTAGGCATTCACATATAGGACATTTACCAGATTTAGGATCTGAGAGTTCTTGTGGCCTTTGTAGAACAGCCAGAGCATGTGAGTTACTGAGTGTGAGACCTGCATTTCCACTCTGATTATTCAGTTAATATTTTGATTCTTACTGACACACAAATCCCTAATTCAATGTTAAATGAGGCTATTGAGCTATTTTTCTACTATTAGAAAATATTACAAAAATGTATCATTGAAGGACATTAGCCACTTGAGAACCCTGTGGGGTTGACTTGATTAGTTTCTTGTAATTGTTATTATTGAGCATTTTCTCTAATGTCGTAGTGTAATGGCAAGGAGTTAATTTATATCCATGTAGATGGAACTGCAGGTTCCATTGAATGGTGTATTAAAGTATTTTCATTTTTGCACTAAGCCCGTTTCAGCTGTTGTAGGCTGTTGCTTACCATGGCCAAACCCCAGATATCCAGATGACCAAGCAGTCTGTCCCAAACTGAAATGAAACCTCCAGTAGGTCTAGATCTGTGGATATCTGGTGTGCCAAAGTCATTCAGGTCACTGTGTCTGTGTTGGTATATTATTTCTATTTTATCATATCATTTATGGTCATTTGAAGGCATAGAACTATGTTTTTGGTGTGTATATTTGAAATGTAGTAAATTATTTATGTATTGAATTTATTTTTTTTTATTTAATAGTGCTTTGGCCTGCATGACGGTATGATGACAGCCTCTGAATACACCTTACTAACTTTGTATCAACCAGTATTTTATTGTAGACATGTATTTATTTCACATTCAAATTTGGGTTCTTGACATCTTGGTTTTAAAAGTTTTCTAAATATTTACAGTTGCTATCTGTTTGGTTGTTTTGAATATTCTTTACCGAACTGAAAATTATCCAAATTGGTCTTCAGTGCAGTTTTACATATTCCACTCACACTTCCAGGTCACGGTTAGCACAGCTGGACAGGATAAGGACACCTGACAAAGCTTGATAATTTTTATTCAGGCATCATAAACATCCGATTTTGAAAGATTTATTCTTTGTTTTTGTGTGGCAATATTTACTTTATAGATATTTATATACTTTGTAGTGTCTATACTGTATGTATAGTTTTTTGGTTATTTTTGTTTGTTTTCTTTTAGCATTACACAGATGGGACGGTGAAACCTATTTAATGGTTGAGAGCTTTAACTTTCATCATTACTACTTTTGTGCTGAGTAATGAGACTGTCACATGGATATTTTATGAAGCACAATGTGCCTTTGACACATTGTATTTTACTGTTAAAAATTAGAGGAAAGATTTTTTGTTGATTTCAAGTTTTGTAGATAGTTAACTCTCTCTTTGGTTCTGATATCTGATGGGAAGATGTTTGTCTGCCTTCTCTCCAAATAGATTTATCTGTCTGAATGTTGCATCACACACACCCTTCTCTGAGATGTTAATACTGCTCAGGATAGAAAAAGAAAAATATCATGTGAAAGTACTATACTGGAGTTCAAGATTTGCATAAGATTAAAGTTGTATCAGCTGCTGTCTGTCAAAAACATAATCTGGAATTGCCTCCTTGTCTTTAGTGTGTATGTGTTTGTGTGTTTAAATCTCCCTGTCAGACCACTTACTGTTCTGTATGTGGGAGGAGTAGTTCGTGTGCATGCCTGTGTGTTATGAGCTTTGCTTCTTTCCACCCCTCTCCATCACTGCAGCTTCAGATAAAAGTGAGGGGAAATGATTTGCTTGGTGCTTATTGATGGTGATAAATGATTTATAATTATTTTAATAAATAATTAAACACAAGCTTCCATGTTGTTATTCCGTGTCACTTGCACTGCACTTACAAGCCAGAGGAAATTGCAATGTTGATATGTGTCCGGGCTACAGTAAGGGTCTCTTTAAAAGTGCTGTGATTCAGTTGTGTACAATATAAATACAAGGGAAAACCCTTTAAAATAATTTTGACAGTTTAGCCATTAAGCCACGCCCTATCCGCGTATGCTGCAAACGTATTGGTCCAGAAATTCACCCCGAGCTCTGATTGGTAAGTTTCCGTAGGTTTCCCTCAGAACTGCAAGACGCCGATATTGCGTTACATTGTAGCAAAATGGCGGCTGTCATTCAGAATCCACTAAAAGCGTAAGTATTTTAGACATTGAGAACACTGGGAATATTACTTTGATGCCAACTCGTACATTTAAACGGCTGTTTGTGCATGTCATTTCCAGTCGTGTGCATTTCGCAGATTAAGCTGTCCAAATCTATTTTGTGTACTTCTTGCATGGCAAAGTAGCCTCGTATAGTTCTTTTATTCCACAAGATTTTCACAGTTAGTCTTAAACATGTGCGTAGGGCTGCCTGGCATTTTTGTCCGCACCAGACAAGGTTTTCGTCCATACGGGTTTGCAGTCAACACAAGACAGTGTCGTCTTTCCTGGGCAATAAATTTATTGGAAAACTGTCGACAGCGTGCCTTTGCGCTGCATCTAATGTTAATATTTAGAAGGCGATTTTCTTCGTGTTGGGTTGGACATAGCAGCGCAATATCATCTGACACCCGGAAAGTCGTTTATAGTTGGTGTAAATTGTCGACATGTCAACTTTGGCTCCTCCGAGCGCAGACGTGGTCAGGACTCGATAAAGCAAGGGAGGAGGCATTTTGTATTTGTATGCTTACTGGCGAAATCGACCAAGTGTCAGCAATTTGAGTTCACCGTTGGAAATAGACAGTCACTCTGCCCAAACAGTCGGTGCCCTAATCATTTCTCTCCGTAAACTTCAAAGAAATGTTCCACCTTTCTTCCATTTCTCCTTTGTTCTTATGTATTGTTTCACGAAGTCCACTGGTAGACATTTTACTGGAAGTTAGACGCAATTAGCCTCCTGCCTCGTGCCATTTAAGATTAAGACTAGATAATTTAGGATTTCTTGTAAGTGCACATTCATTTAGACGTGACAGCAGCGTTGAGCCTGCACGGAGGGGTTATAATGATGATGGTAATGACTCAGAGGGGCTGTAGAGGTAAAGCAGGTACTCCACTGTAGCTTTAAGTGGAGGAGTGCTGGAGATTAGCTTGGTCCAGGATCCTGGGCCCATCTGTCAGAGAGATGCTCCGACAGGGAGGAAGTGTTGGGCACAGGCGGAAGAACCATCTGCTCCTCCACAGAGGTACCCTGGCACCTCCGTGGACTGTAGCGCAAAGAAGGAGCACATCATCCTCACTGCTGCCATTGCTATGGTGATATTGTTCTTAGGAAAGGTTGCAGCATGGTGTGTTTGATACCTGAGTGTCCACTTGCTACACTGGTATTTTCCTCTGAGTGTGTAGTTTGGGGAGTACTAGCCAAGGAGTCTTTAATAATGTAATAAATATTGTGCAGGCCATGCAACTTGCTGATGTCTTTAATTCTGTGGCATTATGAGCAGCTAAGTTATATGGCTTATTATGATACTGACCAGTCATAGAGGCTGTGTACCTGACAGAGCGGCCTTTAGCAAGACAACCCCCCAACCTGCACACTTACAGCATGATGCTTAGGAACAGACTGTTGGCTGTATGCTGTTCAAATCTGTATTTTAAATGAGTCAACTGACTGTGCTTGCACTTTTCACATGGTGCACTGCTTCACAGTTTTACCCACCAGGGAATTGCCCAGTACAATCTCATTGCCCTTTTGCCAGCACCTGAACTGCTCAGCGAAGCATATGGTGTTAGTGTTGGATATAGATGTTAAATAAATTGTAGCTCCTTCTATTTGGACATCTGTGAGTAAGATTATTATTGGAAAGTATATCTCATCATTACGTTGTTGGACTGTTTCCCTCTCGTGTCCCAATAAGCTTCTGCTGTCAAGTGGCTGTTACATCTCAGGTTCGTTTTAGCATTCAGACGTAGAATGTCTCCTTGCTATAAGCTGTGCTTAATGAAGTGTTTCAATCTGCTATAATTAGCCTCTGTCTCGGGTTTCTGACTTCATTTCACAGGTTTGTCAGATTATAATTAGTCACACTTGACACTAATTGGATGTCGTTCCTGTGGACCAGTTTGACCTTTTTTTGGTATTAAGATGATTCACTTTGGGGAAATGAAGCACCAGGCTGACTTTGTTGTGGAGGTGTGGTGGGAGATGAAGCTGCAGCATGCAAGCCCCCTGCACGCCCGTGTGAGGTCCTGCGCTTGAGCATGGGTGGACAGTAATCTCCAGAATCTGCTGATTAAAATGCAGGCTGCAATATTTAATTAATAAAGAAGCTCATAAAGCTGCTCATTAAAATTTTAGCCACTGTGGGCCGACACATCTTCAAGCCACGTCGGCCTGATTCTTGCCCAGTCGTCTGCAGCTTTGTCACTGATGTTTAGTAGTTCTTTGCATGAGTCAGGCCTACTGTTTACTGGCACTGCAGTGTGGAGGTGTGTGGTCTGGTTTTGCTCCTGTCCTCACACAGACTGTGTTGTTCAGATTCATGTAATCGGAGGTTGTTGTCAGGATGCAGTCACTCTGTAGGCCCTCCTCCTCCCCTCCTCTTGTTATGTGGTAGCTGTAGCTTCCTGTGAAGGAGCAGTGCACCTGCAAACATGAGAAACCTCCTGAAGACACTGAAATTGTTTCTAGATCAGTTTATCCTTTTTTAAGCACATATGTCAGAGCTCTTAAGTGCAGATTACTGCACTCCTCCAAACTATAGTTTCTCATCAGATATGCATTATGGACGCACATGTGACACAGTGAACGGTTGGCAGGAACAAGCTGATAGCAGAGGCCCAACTGACCACAGGATTTGGTTTTGTTTCTCACCCTCATGCACATACTCACCTTTTCCACTCAGCTGGAAGATAACCAGGGATGTGTAGTGCATACCTCTGTGACGCCTTTTTAAATGCAGAACGTTAAGTTACTCTAGTTTAGTGTTCTAGTTCCCTTTTGAGTCACTAGGAATTTGTCACTATTAGTTGAATTATTTCTTTTCCTTTTGGCCATCATTTCTGTTGCTTTTATTAGAAGTAGATTCCCAAAAGTAACGGCTCAGATGTGGGAACATGAGTGCATTTGTGTTAGAAATGAGCAGTCAAACAGGCTGTAAACAATAAGTTTATCCAGATTATCTAAAGCGGTGATGCTCAACTTGTGGGTCAGGACCCTTGAAGTGGTCGCAAGATGCATTTCTTGAGGTTAACAAAAGAAAGCAACACAAATATGTGCTACACATATACTATATACTGATGTTTTTGTCAAATCTTCTAAATTACTGGATAATGCTTACAACTTATATACACACCGGTGATGATGGTGCAAGTAAACGTTTTGGTTTAAGGTGTCACAGGTCAAACAGGTTGTGAAACACTGGTCTAAACTACCGTCATTGTAGGTGAAACTAAAAGTGAATAATTTCAAAATATTGGTATTTGAACAGGAAAACTGTGCACAAAACTAGTGCAAGTACAGTACGTTGAAGTTGAACCAGGAAACCTATTGGTGAACTGTTATGAATGTTTACAGGAGAGCATGAGCAACTAGAGAAATGCATTTCCTGTCGAAAATGCATGTGGATGCAATGTGCTGAAGGATTGACCTGAAAATGCTGAAGATTTTGACACCTGAAAGGCATATCTACCTGAAAGTATGCTGAAGTACAATTTTCCCATTAATTTGAAAGGGGGGGGGGGAATTTTCAAAATAAAGCTAAATATTTCAGAAGTGTGAAGTGTTTAAAAATTGAGTCGAAGCATGAATGTCCTGGGAAACTTGAACATTTTGAGCTGAAATAGCTGAAAGTATGCTTAAGTAGAATTTCCCCATTCATTTGAAAGGGGCAAACAGAAACAGAGAGGGAGAAGGGGAAGGGGAGAGAGACAGAGAGAGGAGTTATGTCTGGGCATGTCCCAATTGCACTGCATTTTATGAACCATCAGATGGCACCCCAAGACTGTGTCATTGACTCAGCACTTTGAGCTCCCATTGACTTGTATTGCAAAAAATAAAGCTGAATAGATTAAAAAGTATAAATGTTATAACAAAGAAAAATACAAGCAGGGATGTCCTTGAAGAGTTGAACACATCGAAACCTCAATGGCCTGTATAGCTGAAAGTATGCTGGAGTTATTAAGTGCCAAAAAAAGGGTGGAAGATCCCAGAATATTAACTAGAAAAATTGCATTTCCTGAAGAAAATGCGTGTGGGGGCAAGCTTGGGAATGCATTGCTCTGAAAATGCCCGAAATCAATAGCCAAAATGGCAGAAGGATGAGAAGAAATGGCTGAAGTTCTTTGTTGAAATAGTTGAGAAGAATTGGCTGAAGTTCTTTTTTGAATCATCTGAAGGATGAGATGAAATATATACAAGCAGGGATGTCCTTGAAGAGAACATTTTGATACCTGAATGGCTTTTGTAGTTGAAACTATGCTGACCTTATAAAGATGTGAAAATTGTCTCATTCGTCCCCACAAAGTAGGTAAAATGAGCAGGTGTGTGTGAGTGAGTGAGTGAGTGAGTGAGAGAGAATTCCCAATTACACCCTGTGGACTACTAAAGTGTGGCTATTGAAATGAAACATTGTGAGGATTGCCCTGAAAATGTCTGAAATCAATTTGTTTAAAGAGCTGTGGGAAAATGAGAAAATATGGATGAAGTTCTTTGTTGAAATCGTTGATAACATAAAGATGCCATAGCAATAGTGAACTACATTAAACGGTGTGCCAAGAACAGCTTTTGTTTCATACAGCTGTGCAAAGACCTGGGATTAGATCATGTCCAGTTACTTCAGGTAGCTTAACTTCACTAATTCACGGGTGTAGCACCATCCGATCACATCCTGACAATTTTCTCTACCATTTTCATATATTATATGTGTGTGAAAGCTTTAAGGATGGCAGAATAGAAGCAGAAACAGGGCATAAATTGATGAGAAACACACACAGACGAAAGCAGAGCGGGGGTCACGTGACGCTAGAATGGGGGTAATTGGAAAAGAATGGAGCCATTGACTTTGAATGGAGAAGTAGACAAAATATAAATATGGATTAAAAATAAACCGTAAGAGATATCAAGAAGATATTTACAACAACAATACCTATCAATGTCACGAGTTGAATACAGTTGAAATGGCATTTCTAGCCCACGGTATGCCTGAGATATTAAGG